AAAAAAAAAAAAAAAAAACAGTTACACACTTCTCATCTTGTAAACTTATTGGAGTGCTTGATATGGAGATAGAGACAAAGCCAACATTAGATTTAATGAAAGTGTGCGTTGTAATTAGGGAATATTTATTACCGAAACTTTACAGTGGTATGTACATTCCAATACTCCTTTTCATTAAACACTTGCAAATGCATGGACCTAAGTTCTTCTGCATTACAAATATTAAATTCACCGCTTGATATCAATAAAGTAGGATAAATGAGGGTTAAAGAAGCATTATAACGAAATTGAAAAATTGAAAAACGACCATAATAAGCAATGAAATTTACAAAACATAAGGTCAGAATTACAGGAAGTAGAAAATGCCAAATTTATTATGGAAAACTTTTTTATTTCCCGCTCTCTTCAAGTTTCACTCTATTTTCTATTTCTTATTGTGGCGAGCAATCGGCTCCCAGAGATGCGTGGAGGAACCTGAGCCAAAAATAGTTTAGTGGACGGGAGCAAAAAAAAGGTGGAATTCTACTGGTATATAATTGCTTCAGACTCTAATATCTGGAGGATGATGCAGAAAATATTATGCTAAGAATGGAGCTTTCTAATAAACAAAAATGTTACGGATTTGGAATATTTATAAGAGTAAAATTAAGAAACATAAATCAATATGAGTATAATCAGGGTGAAGAAATATGAACGCGCGATGCCTTCAGTTCTCTATCTGTCAAATACAGCCGTAACAATTGCAGCTTTCCAGCACTATTCTGAAAGATCATATACTGCTTCCTACTGTACGCCAGATTTCTGAAAAATGACTGGCAAAAAATTCTGAACACATAAACGCTTGCTGTGCGGTTTCGAATTGGCAGGATCGTCATCGGAACCTATGGAATACCTTCGAAATAAATGTCATTTCCCAGATCTAAAGCTGAGGGTGGCTTCGCTTGATCTCGAATTGGAGATAGAGCCCACTGACGAGAGTATGAACAATAAAAAATGGATGCCTTAAAATGAGCCACTGATGCGAAGTTGTGACAGCAAACGCGGGAACCACTAGCGATCTCTGGTTGTAAATAAAAAAAAACATCAATGAAAAGACCAGTTGCGAACAAGGTGGCACCGATTGCTACCGCTAAAATTCTCCCAATTTACTCCATAACAGCAGCTTGTTCAATTTTATTATCACCTATTATCACCCCGGATAGAGACTGAAAAGAGGACCACCAGTGTTTTAGAAAACAGCATTGATAGGGACGCCGATAGCAGCAGAAGACCTTAAAAACAAAATCCACAGGAAAATAGATGTTTATCTGAGAGAGCAGTGTTGGTTATCCTGAGCCGCCGAACCCAGTTTAAGCAATTTTGACGCAACTCGACGCACAGCGGATGACTTGTATAAACCAACAGGTGCATCGTCAGGAAGGGATGCTATGTCGACAAAATCCTCCCCAAAGCGAAGATCGGCCAAACATCGCAAAGAACGTACAGCACAGAATGAATGAAATGTAACGAGCTATTCTACTACGTTTAGTTTGCGCTCCGGTCTATACAACATCTGCTGGAGGAAGAGAATTTTAAAAAACTCTGACAACGTCTGACTACGGGTGACCAACTTCTACAGTTCACAGCAAAGCGAGTTCGTCAAAACTGGCAACCACTCTTTCTGCCAAATATGGTGAAGATTCGTTACTAAATGCGAT